TCATATTTTGGCTCTCATGGACTTGTTTTAATTGTCTTCAATTTCAAGTTGAACGTGCATATGAGCAGTTGATGGTCTGTTCCACAATCAGTCCCTGGCCTTGTTTTGGCTGAAGATAATTGAGCTTTTTCCATTGCTTCTTGCCACAGATGTAGCCAATCTGATTCCTGTGTATTCCATCTGGTGAAGTCCACCTGTATAGCCACCATTTGTGTTGTTGAAAAAAGGTATTTGCAATGAATAATCATCGGTCTTGCAAAATTCTATCATGAAATCTCCAGCATCATTTTTATTACCAAGGCCAAATCTTCCAACTATCGGTGACTTTTGTTTCCAACTTTTGCATGCCAATCACCAGTGATAACCAGCACATCTTGATTGCATGTTTGGTCAATTTCAGACTGCAGAAATTGATACAAATCTTTAATTTCCTCATCTTTGGCTTTGGTGGTTGGTGCATAAATTGAATAATTAGTATTAACTGGCCTTCTGTATAGGCGTATGGATATTATCCTATCACTGACAGCATTGTACTTCAAGATAGATCTTGAGACATTCTTTGTGATGATGTATGCCACACCATTCCTCTTCAATTTGTCATTCCTGGTATAGTAGATCATATGGTTGACTGATTCAAAATGGCCAAACCAGTCCATTTCAGCTCACTAATGCCTATGAAATTGACCTTTATGCATTCCATTTCATTTTTGACAACTTCCAATTTTCCTGGATTCAGGCTTCGTACATTCCATGTTTTGATTACTAATGGATGTTTGCAGCTGTTTCTCCTCAATTTAAGTTGTGCCACATCAGCAAATGGAGGTCCTGAAAGCTCTACTTTATCCATTATCATTAAGGTCAGCTCTACTCTGATGAGGCAGCTCTTTCCCAGTCATATTTTGAGTACTTTCTGACCTGAGGGGCTCATTTTCTGGTACTGTAAAGTTGTCCAATAATATATCAGAATTTCAGTGCTATTCATAAGGCTTTCACTTCTCAATTATTTGAGAAGTGGATGGCTTCTTCCTTCTTCTGAGTTTGTCTCAGTCTGGAAGCTCTGCTGAAACCTGCTCACCATGGGCAACCCTGGTGGTGTTTGAAACACCAATGGCACAGCCTCCAGCCTCACAGCAATATGCAAGCCACCACAGTATGAGAAATTGACAGACAAGTTTGTCTCCCTCAGCTTCCTGCCTGGGGGCTCTCTCCCTCTTACCTGTTTTGGCTTAGGCCCTGGCTGCCACTTCCTGCCTGGGGTCTTTACAATTAGCAACAGAACTGTAAAAATACTTATCTTCTTAAATTTCAATTTAAAAAGCAGAACTCTGATAGTTCTAATTTAAACCCCAACAATGAGTCTTAACACAATCTGACAGATTGGGCTCTGTTTGCTTTACCATACAGACTCTCTTAACCCTACGTACCTCCACAGTATCCCAAGTCACTAAAATTAAAGGTTCCTCAGTGGGAAATGGATTACATCTCAATATAAAGAAAATAAAAATTTTCACAACTGGACCTATAAGCAGCATCACAATAAATGGAGAAAAGATTGAAGTTGTCAAAGACTTCACATTGCTTGGTTCTACAATTGATGCCAAT